TTCCTGATTCCTACTGGCGCTTGCTCCTCGGGAGGCTGCTCACAAGCACGGGGCAGCCTGCAGGCCGCAGAGCTCGGCTCACCTGCCACCCTGCAAAGCCCCTCAAGGAACCCAAACACAGGCCAGGGACACAGCCAGCCTGCGTTCGCGGGAAATTACATACTTGAGGAAGTTAATCTGGGTTTATCGCAGCAAAATCCGCAATGCTCTGAGAGGCTGAGATGTAATGCTCTGGGCAGGCACAGTTTTTCTGGGATCCTGGGATGGCTGAGCCATTATGTACCCAGCAGAGGTTTATATGGTTGGGAATTCACCAAGAGGCCAAACGAACTAGTTGAGAACCTCTGGCTTTCTGTTGCCTTCTGTGCAGTAAAAGAGGTCAGGTTCTCCTCCAAATTACAAGGCAAGGGATCAGCTTTCCTTTTTTTTTTTTTGGTTCCTACTTAAGGCCAAACACAGAACCAGGAGAAAATGCCAGGTCTTCCTCCATTCTGCCCCCTTTACATGTCTGAAGGAGAAGTCCTTCTGTCTTCTGAGGACAAAGTAGAAGCTGTGACCTCAGTCTCTATCCTGACCTGGATTGTCTCCAGTCTTTTGCATAATACCTGGTCTTTTCTGTTGAGGGAGAGGGTTCTCTGATCCTCCAACAAGATATTGCTCTGGACATGAAGTACTTGCCCTCCCGCTGCTAGGTTCTCCCCTTGGAGACCTCCACAGACCCACCTGATCCTACAAAAAACACTTCTGGCTGCGGCTGTACTTGGGCGGAGTGGGATAAAAGCATGTATGTAGAATGAACCTATGCTGTGATAGCAGTCAGGGCTTGTCCAGACATGACAGCTTCCCTGCCCCTTCCCAGGGGAGTGCTCAGGAGGGCGGGGAGAGCTCTAGCACCTAAGTGGAAAAACTGGCTGGGCTGTGCAAGGAGAAGGGATTGCTGGAGGAGTGAAAGGATCTTGTGCTTCAACCTTCACCAGCTCCCCAAGCAAAATGAGCAGCAAGCAGAGTGGATTCATAGGGGCCCCATATCCTTGTGGCAGAGCAAAGACAGAACAAAAGAGAGAGACGGAGCACCTGCCTGACCCTGAGAGTGTTGCATGGATTCCTTTTTCTGTATGCCTTAAGTCTTGTGCCACACAGCTCTGACAAGAGCAGATATGTCCTGTCTTTTACCTCCCTCTGCAGCAGTACATATCCCCCAAAACACCACACATATCCTCTCCCCTGACAAAGGCATAAAGTTGCCCTAAGCAGTTGACTCTTGTCACCTCTGCAGCAGAGGCAGAGCCCTGCACTGCTTGCTCCAACAACCCTGGCTCGCTCTGTGGCTCCAGCACCACAGCTACTCCCATGCTTGCTAATTGCTCGTCCTCAGAAAAAAGTCAGGCACGGACAGTATTGAGCAATGTGCTTTACATGGTTTCCCATGGCAGAAGAGACATCCCAGCCCAAGCAGAGGGGAATACAGAGGAGAAAGCTGCCCCCCTCCAGCTCTCACCTCTGTAGTCACGGGACAAATACACTGTTCTGTGTGTCTGACCTGTCTGGCCTGAGAGAACAAGGCTGTCATTTAAGCATTGGGAACCAGTTGTTGAGTGAGTCAGTGTCAATCACAGAGTTACAGCTCGCAGAAACTAGCTCCAGAGCTGAAGGCTCCTGGATGAAGCCCAAGAGGGAGTGGAGAGGTGTGTGCAGGTCTTACACCTGACACACAAGGAGAAAAATCACAACTGAAAAAAAGAAGCTAAGGAGGGGAGGAAAGTATAGGATACACCTGGCAGGCACAGAGGGCAGGAAAGAGAGAGGCAGACCACATGAACTCCCCTCATCCCACTTTATGGTTACAGATGCTCTGATCTCTAGAGCCCTGGAACCTCTCCCATGGCCTACAGCCAATGTCTGTCTGCATACTCACCTACGCAGCTCCCATCGACTTCCTCAAACCCCACAGCACAAAGGCATCGGCCCATGGGTACCAGCCACTCCCCGTCAGTGCTGCAGTGCATCCTGGGGGGAGAGCCCGCTTCTTCAGCTGCATGCTCCACGCAGACTCCGGGCACTTCTGTCAGCCCTTCTGAACCTGCTAGCGTCTCTGGAAAACGGGCCAGGCCCCGCACTGCCTCTGGGCAAGTCTTGTAATACACTCGGACAGACACCATCGCTACGCAAGCCCCAGAATTCTGGAAAGCCAAGTAGAAGCCCCGGCGAGACAGCTTCCCAATGGGGCACACTTCTGTGTTCAGCTGCATAGCACCCGATTCGATGTCTCTGCTTGTGAAACTTCGATCTGCTGCCACAGTGTTCAGCTAAGTGAAAGAGAAAAAAACAACAGCTTTAACATCTGAGCAGGCAGGCAGCAGCTGTTGAGATACCCATGCTCTCAAACTTCTTTTACACTAAACTTCTTTCAGTGGCTGCGTGTTCAAATGCTTCTAATGCCAGTGCACTGTGTGCTTTCTTTGAACCTGGAGAAGGTGTTAACAAGAGGGTCTACATCTTTTCTTGCTTTCACACTTTTCTCCTTTCAGTGATTTTGCAGTCTTTCACTGGTCTTATACAGTGGGTACTGTACACACAAATTTGTGAAGTGTTCCGTATTTTTGTTTGCCTAGCTTTCTAGTGTTAGCTCCCTTTTCAGCCATCTTAAAAAAAAATTTTTTTGATCTGTACAGTAATAATCCTATGTTCTGGGTCTCTGATCTCGGTGGTCTTTAGGAACTGCCCCTAAAGGAGCAAGTCTCTCTTCTGTGATATTTTTATTTGTTTGCAAAAATCACACCACCGCTTAGAGCTGAGATTTTTTTATGAGCAGTGAATTACAGCTACTTATTTCTAGGCTGTACTTGATGTAGATCAGATTATCTACCGCAAGATGCTTCTCATGCAGCACAACATATTTCAGCGCTGTAGATACTTAGGTGAAAAATGCTCCCACGCTTTCACATTCTCACTGTCTCAACAAACAAAAGCATGAGAGTGAGTGAGAGATGCTTTCAATGCTTGGGCAAATGGGAAGGGCCTCCATGATATCAAGGGATATGAAAGAACTGGACTGCAGGTTGGGTGGCCTTCTTTCTCAAGATTGCCTGATGGTGGGGTGCCCTTTCTTCTCAGAGGGAAAGCCTGATAATTGATCTTCTCCACCGCAGGCCCCTCCTCATTGCATGACACCACCTGCTGTGTAGTTGGATGGCAGATGAAAGGATCTGCACAGCAGCTGCATCTGGCAGTGGGATCATAAGGCAGGTTTAGGACTTGTGGAGGTATCGCATAAATTCACGTGGCAGGCTGCAGGGGAAGTGGAAGAGCAGTGGGAAAGGAAGGAAATCAGTTACCAGAGTCCTGCTCTGCCTGTGGTGGCCTTTATTGTTCTTTGTTTTCATCACACTGGCATTTGAAGGCAGGCAAATAATTTAGGTCTGTGGCTTCTTTTAGGAAAGAACTGGGTTATAGAATTTCCTCTACAAAAAAGCTGAGGTTCCGTGTTCTGCAATTCAAATGTTTCCATAACAAGAGGGCACTACACTGGGGGAAACAGCAGTTAAGATACAGCGGTGCTAAATACTCTCACACAAGGGAGAATTTCATTATAGTAAGCCATCATCTCCAGTTTTAGAAAGTAAGACCCTGTCTTGTAACAATCAGAGTAAGTGATCAGCAGCACAGAGACCTGAACTGGATTCTGTTCTTCACTTGGTCTAATTTTGCTTCATTACCAAAGGCAAGTCAAAGTCCTTTGGTCTCTGCTTTACTATTTCTAAAAACTAGTGTAACCATTCAGCACTGTTACAACCATTTAGAACCCTTACCAATGTGGTGTCCAGTTAAATAAGTGGTTACGGAGAATGGAGGTCTGATTTCTTTTTAAAACTCCTGTGCCTCCTGTTGCTATGACTGCTCTGAGCATCACAGAGGGCACTGGGGGCAAAGCTTCTTCTAAGGACAACGCTTACTATCCATGCCCCTCCCCAGGTGCCAGTCCTCCTGGCCTCCCCCAGCAAGCAAGTCACAGCTGGTTTAAGCTGAAAGATATGACTCAGATTTCACACCCAGTGCTACAGACCTTGATGAACAACGGACGGCGGAACTGGATCCCCACATCTTGTTCAGACTCCATGTAATAGAGATTGAAGGTCTCCTTGCAGGTCACCACTTCACCTTTGAAGCTCTTGCAGTCCCTCACAGTAAACTTTAGCTCCACATAAATGCGAGAAGCTGCCTCACCCCGATAAATCCAGTTGGTGCGAAGCCAGTGATCAGTGTCACCCTCGGAAAGCACACTGCAGTCTTGGTACATATAGACCGGGGTACCATTTATCATCTGTTGCACTTCGCTCCACTGCTCCCAGGGTAGAAGAAAACACACGTTGTTAGGACAGATGTGAGAAACAAGTTTCACTTCAAATATGACAAAAGCTAGCCTAAAAGATTGATTCCCATATAGCATTAAGGGCTCAAAGCCTGGCTAGCTAAAAGGTCTCTTACACTGAACAAAGGCTGCATCTGGTCTAGAGCCCTATACCTGTCTAAACTCTTTAGATAGGCAGCAAAGAGGATACTGTAATTTGGATCTGACTTATGCCAAATTGAAGCGAACCACAGTGTGTGGCCTCCTGCACATCCCCTTCATCCTACCTCGGTTCCAATTATTTTTTTCATACACTGTCTTTCATAGATTGAGAAAAATGCCCATTACTCCCATGTATTGGCCACTTCTTTCTGCCACTGTTTACATTCAAAGTGTACAACAGGACATACCAGATCAGAACTATTATCTGTGTCTGAAAATAAGGCAGAGCCCTTTGGGGTAAGAGAAAAGTTAGCCTAACACAATGGGAAGGTCAATTACAGAAGGACTGTGTTAGAGCAAGCAGTCATTAGTTTGGAGTTCACACTTTAACTGTGGTATTTTGCAAATCCTAATTTAACTATTAGAACTCGGCTGATTTTCCTGACTTCATACTAGGTTCTGCTTCCTCTCCAGGCAAATAATGGCTGAGAGGACAGGAGATCAGCTGGTTCTATGCTCTCACTAATACTATTTGTATGAATCTGATAGGGTTTGATATATATTTTAGCATACACTTTTGCTGAATTTTATGTGGTTCTAGTTTCCTCACCACAGGTCAGATATAAAATGCAAAGAACAATCACTTCTGAGTAAGTCACGCATGAGAAGTGAAAACTTGGAAAGCAAGGTTTTCTTCACATGGAAAATAACTTAGAACCCTTTTCCCTCCATGCTAAGACTGCCTTTCTCATTATGCTCTAAATGTTTAATCAGATTAAATTGAAACAAGTGCCCACATAGGTATTGGCACAAGTTTAAGCATCTTGGGTTTAAATCACCCCCCAGGTTAAGATGCAATTTAAAGAAGGCTTCAGTCTCTGTATTACTTGAGGCTTGTCAAGTCTCATGGTCTAAGCATAAGATTCACACGTTTCTCCAGCACCATCACTTAATGTACTCAAAGCACAACCCTGCAACCTCTCTCCTAGCTTCTGATCCCACTGACTAGGTCACTCTGCTAGTGGATTACAAAAGACGGACACAGAGAATGCCAAAGGAGGCTCTGTTTTTATGCGGTGACTCAGAGCACAGCCCCTATGCAGCCCCACTCTGAAAACAGAGCACATTCTCCAAGCCTTGCTGATAGCACAAGCTCCAATCTGGCTGATTTCAGCCGTTTACCCAAGTGCATACAAGCAGTCTCCTCCCAGGAAGTTCAGTGGATGGTATCTATGTGTCCCTTCTTGTTTCCTTTTTCTCCCTGTAATTAATCTCCAGTGTTACCCCACCCTCTTAATCTGATCCAGCTGGCATATACCTGCACCACACAGGATTTACACTTATTTCACTTACTGGAGGTCAAAAGGCTTAGGTTATCAAGAGAGAGAAACAGACTGATCAGTCCCAGCTGATCCACCACAAGAGGCAATCACTTAATCACCTCTTGCGCTCTTTCATTGCAAATCTTCTGGAAAATGCTACAGAACTGAATTTACAACAATACACCCTGAAATATATTAAAACAGAAGAAAACATGTTAGAAAGGAGAATAAGAGTAAAGTAGCTTTCACAAAAAATGGCCAATGTTAGGACTGCCTTTTAGAAGTATTTCTCCATGAGTGTCTGTCTCCACCAAGCTGATGGGAATGGCGTAATTGCATTTTAAGGCCTAGAGTTAGCTAAGTTTACATTAGCAGTTCATCGTAAGTCAGTACCACAGGAAAGTGTCACCGGAAAGCGATTTTTGCATGCCTCACCAAAAGATACGAGCAGCTGTGATGCATATCCTGAATATACAATTTTCAAAACTTAAGTGATACAAAACCCAAGTGTCATTTTCAACAGTGATAACTCTAGAAGAAAAAAATTAAACTCTACTGCTGGAAGCAACTATTAACTACTATATTTCTTAGTTCTCCTACTGGAAAATAAACTTATCAATTCCTATATTTTTTAGCTCATTTCAGCCAAGCTTCTTCCAGATTGAGAGCAAAGATTCTTAGCAGTGACTTACTGCCCAGTTTCATATACAGTATGGTGTAAAGAAATAACAAGGGAGACAGACTTGATTTTTCTGGACTCTACTGCTGATGGGAGAAGGAAGTAAACTGAGGATATGATTTATGCTAACAATACAGAACCATTGTTAAATACGCCTGTGACTTCTTTTCATTTTCCAATGAAGCTTTTACATTCAAAGTAGTAGAGGAAAACTGTTACATACAACACTTAATGAAAGGGTGATGAGTCCAGAAGTTGCTAGGCAACTGTCTCACATCCTCAAAGAATATGCTGCAAAGTCAAAATGTATGCCTCTGATTTTTAATGTAAAGTTCTTAATAAACATATTTGTGCTAAAGTCTGGTTCAATCAATACTAATTACTTGGTTCTCCAGTTTATCTGGCAATGACATTGAATCAGCCTCCTTTGATAATATAACTTTCAACCTGTTTCACTCCACACAATGTATCCTTGCTCCAGTCATCAGTTTGGCCATAGGATGGGAAACATTCTTCTAGGAGAAATGGGGGACAGGGAGAGTCAGAGTTCCTCATTTTAGCAGTGAGTGATCTGGGGGTTTATGATGCTACAGAAAAATTTGGCAGGAGATTCGGAATCATAGCAAGATTTAGGCTGGAAAGGACCATTTGAGATCATCCAGTCCAATTGCCGGCTCCAATCAAGCTGAAGAGTTCTTTAACTCTATAGGATGTCATCCAGAGGGACGCTGACAAGCTTGAGAGGTGGGGCCAGGCCAACCTCAGGAAGTTCAACAAGGGCAAGTGTGAGGTCCTGCACCTGGGCTGGGGCAATCCCAAGCACGAACACAGGGTGGGAGATGAGTGGATTGAGAGCAGCCCTGCAGAGGACGTGGGGACACTGGTTGATGAGATGCTCAACATGAGCCAGCAATGTGTGCTGGCAGCCCTAAAAGCCAGCCGTATCCTGGGCTGCATCAAAAAAAGTGTGGCCAGCAGGTGAACAGAGGTGATTCTGCCCCTCTGCTTTGCTCTTGCAAGACCCCACCTAGAAGTCTGCGTCCAGCTCTGGAGCCCCCACCACAAGAGGGACATGGACCTGTTGGAGCACGTCCAGAGGAGGGCCACAGAGATGATCAGGGGGCTGGAGCACCTCTCCCATGAGGACAGGCTGAGAGAGTTGGGGCTGTTCAGCCTGGAGAAGAGAAGGCTCTGGGGAGACCTTACAGTGGCCTGTCAGTGCCTGAAGGGGGCCTACAGGAAAGATGGGGAGGGACTCAGAAAGGAGTCAAAAGAGCTTGTAGCTCTCACCAGTAATGCTGTTTTCATCTCCAGCTTGCCTGGGACTTGCCCTGTCTCCTTTTGGAAAAGAGCCTGCCTGCTGTGACCTATATTTTTTTGCTTTCACCTTAGCTTCACACAGTGGCTTCCAATCTGTCGCCTGCAGACCCCTGGGGAAAGGCACAAAGATACTTTTAAGATACTTACAGAAGGCAACAACAAGCAAGCATCTTGCCAACAGGCTTAAAGTTCCTAAACTAAGATGCATGTCTCCACTGGAAGAGTTAGGGGTTCATATACCGAAAACCAGTCGCTCTTTCAACTTTAGGTTAGAGACTTGCACCAAGATGAAAAGACCGGCTGAGTCAGTTAGTTACACAGCCACCTACAGCATACCTGTGCTTAGCAAGTGCATCACTTTCCCATCTAATTTGCAACAGAATTCAGAGTGCTGGTTTACTCTATGGAATCTCTTCCTGAAGAAAAGCCACAGGGCCCCAAAACAGCAATTTTTTTCAACAACAATACATTGCAGGTGTGCCAAGCCTGAAACCGCTTTGCAGAACACACATCACTGAACGATTTCTGTCTCCTTCTCCCCGCAGCACTTTTGTCTGTGGAGTCTCTTTGACTTTTGCACATTGCATGCTGACATGACCAAAAATACCTTCCTGGAATAGATTCAGAGTTGAAGGCAGTTGTACATTACAGGTTTGCCCATACTATATTCTTAGCTTAGTGCCTCAAAGACTGTGACAATAGAGGCATCTTTCTGGTACCTTGTGTGATGTGATGAACAGCTTCTCTTCAGCTAAAATATATCTTGAGAAAAATGTGTCAGCAGGTAAAGCTAGTCCAGCCAGTCAAAAACAGCAGGACCACAGTGGTGTTTTGGCGGTGTTCCAGAATCAAGTCTCTGTGACCCTTCACTAAAAGTTTCTCAATACTCTTGCAAGTTCTTTTGCTGGTGTGGAAGACAATTTAGATGACGATGATGAAAGAAGCATGGTGACATCTAGACACTTAACTTCATGCGTCCTGTAACTCTAGATCTGAAAACAGCAAAGAGGCTGCTTTTGTTTTTTGATCATTTGGCAATGGTCAGAGAAGTTTGATTTCATCACATCATCATTAAGTCTTTAATACAATTGAACATAGAAGTGATGTTTACTTGTCTACAGCGTCTTTGTGGGTAGGATGATATATTTTTTCCCCACAATGATCCATTGATTATTCTCAGGGAGGAGCAACTGCATTATGTAATTACCTGTCCTTCAGGGCACTAGCACATAGGTGTCATCCCACCCACCTCCTTCCAATTTAACTTGTACTCAAGTTCTTTTGGGAAGATAAGGTCTTAATGTGAGCCACAGAGCTCCAGTGCATTGATTACAGAAACCTGTTTATCAAACCCAGGTTCTGCTGTCGGCCTATTCTCTGAACTGTCTGGCCACATTAAGGTCTTGCATGAAAACAATTCTGGTCACAATAGATGCTACTAGGTGAAGGATAAGGACACTACTCCAAAATTTCACCTAGCTATTCTGGAA